TGGCGGGCCCTAGAGGCACGTGGCCACCGCTGCAGATTCCTTTGCGTGCGTGGGATGCCTCTTCCTGCTGCCACCGGTCGGGTGCCCAGGGCGTAGAAGTGGGCGGTGTGGGTGAGGGGATTCGAATGTAGAGGGTTGGGGAATGGAGGATGTGGCGGAGGAGTCTGGCTCGAGGAGGAAAATCGGGTCGCCGATCTCCAAGGTTTGGGCCGCCAACCTCGCAGCTTTAGGTCGCCCATCTCGCATGCTTGAGCCGCTATTTGATGAGCACGCTGTGGAGAGTTAAGTCGAGCGTGTCCCCCTACAGGCAGATTTTGGGCGAAACATTGAAATACCCCCAAAATAGCCCCCCAAAATCAAACATTATATAACATAAAAATCGTCACATACTATTTTTTTTAGTATTTTTGACTAGTCCTCCTGGAAAGGGACAGGCTCGACTGAAGTGCAGGGCGACTAATTCTGAGGTCCAGAAATCCAGGCCGTTGTGGCCGGGATTAACTGGGCGTGACGACCGCAGAAACGCTGCAGTGCTTACACAAAAGCACGGATTTCATTGCCCAGCACCCTCGGCGAGGGCAGCATTCGAGGGCTGAAAATCCACCCCGATAGTAACCACCCCGAAACGCGAAGCCGTTTAGTAAACGCACCCAAGGACGGAATCTAACACGGGCAGGGCTCTTTACTCAACGCCCAGAACCGCTTAGTAAACGCCAATTGTCCGGTCCGGGTGATGTTTCCTCCCTTGAAGCATGTAGGATGTGGAAATGATAACTACGAGAATAGCGGACGTTGGTGGAGTGTGCGCGTGTTGACCGCCAAGACCTTCGGCCTTCGTACACTGTAGGCCCTGTACGCTGCAAGGCTTCGTTAAGGGCTTCACGTTCTCTTTGGGAGGGTCGTCGAGTTGATGTGATCATACCAATTGTAGACGTGATGGAGGACACTACGCCGGAACGCATTTGGCGCGTCGTTGGCGGCGCACGCATATTTAGCAGCACTACAAGAAGAAACGCATTCAGAAATATATGGGAGCTAGCATTTGATTGTTTACTATGTATCCTCAAAGAAGACACGAACTGCCCTCGATGGGCACCCTTGCCATGGGAGGGATCTGGGGTATTTGGGATTGATGTTGGGAAGCGGTCGTAGGGGAATACCGTGCTGACGCCTGCAGATCTAATGTTTCACGCCCTGTCTCGTTTCTCTACATATCTGTGCCTCCTGGCACCTCCTGTTTCGCTTCGTCGGTATTTGTTTGTGTACGAGTTGTCGCACACGGGCGCTACAGGCTTGCACCCAGAGTCCGCTCAACGCAAGGACGAGTGACGACGAGGAGAATCGTGTTTTTTTTGTTCGGGGGGAGGAGGGGAAGAGGAGGAGGGGCACGTACAAGCTAGGTGCGCTCGCGTCATATCTGACGTCCTAACCCTCCCTCCCATCCTTTACCATGGCGTAAACATCCTCTCTATATTCGCACAGTCGGATGCCGAGCGGGAGTGATCGCGAGAGGGTACGCGATGCAGTGCAGAGCACGGCATGGCATGGCGTAGAAGAGCACGGCAGAGCGTAGCATGCCATAGCGCGCATTGCAACTCAAAGCATGGCATCGCACAGCGGCGCAAAACACAACACCGAACAGCATACCAAGGTAAAACGCCAAGTTTTTTGGAGGGTAAGTGGATCGCCTTCGAGGAGGTCTGGGCCGGTCTGGAGTCGCGGCTCCAAGTCTAGCTCCTTGGGTTCCCCGAAAAGCTCCACACTATGCGGGGCTGATGGAGAGAAACCCGCAGGCTCTGCTTCCAACATCGCCTTCTCAAAGCAGAAACGGGGCTCCCGCTTGATACTTCCTGAAAACGACGACACCTCAAAGTGGGCGGGGGCTTCTGCGGCCCAAACAATTCAACTAATCGCTTCCGATGTTTTTTTTCCTGGTGGCCATGTTCTAAATTGTTGGGCCTATGCAAGGCCAACGCTGGAGCGCGAGCACAATCTGGAACGAGCGGAAGCGCGGATATGAGGCCAACGCTACAGCGGGAACACGGATTGGAACGAGCGGAAGCCCGAAAATGACGCCAGCGCTTCAGCGGGAAGGATATTTTCGGGTAGCAAAAAGGGTTAGAAGCGGGAAACAAAGGGGGAATCATGACGCTGCAGCAGGAGGGGTAACGAAAAGGGATACGATGAGCCGTGGAGAGGAAGCAGAGTGGAGATCCTCCTCCCCTGTCCTATCCTGCCAGCCTGCCATCTCCACCTCCTCATGCGCCTCCTCCTCCTCATTCCTTCGCCTCATCCTCCTCCTCCTCTTCCTCCTCCTCCAACTTCTTCGCCTCCCCAAGGCTCCTGGCGCTGGCGCTGCTGACATCGACATCGACCACAGCGTTGACACCGCTCCAGCTCCTCCTTTTCCTTCTCCTCCTCCCTTTCCTCCATATCGTCCCCCGTTTCTTCCTCCACCCATTTCTCCACCTCGCCCCCCTCATCTTCCAATTCCTCCTCCTCCTCCACCTCCTCCTCCCTGTCCTCGCCCCCTTCCTCCTCCCCCTCACCTATTTCCCCTTCCCCCGTCGCCCTCGCCGCATCTCACCCTCTGCAGCTCTCCAGCCTCCAGCTCCCCCTCTTCCTCCCCCTTCCTCTTCGTATTATTATCGTGTCGTATCATAATTCGTCTTATATGTATTACTAGCGTTGTTATTCTTTGTATCCGTGTGATTAGTATGATTATTGCCAGTCGTTGAATTAAGGGTATTCCTTTTCCTATTATTATTATTACTATTTGTCGTCAAATTTGTGTTATTATTCTTCTTCTCAAACTACGTGGTCCTCGTCTTCCTCTTCTTCTTCTTCCTCCTCCTCCTCCTTCCCCATCCCCCCCTCCTCCTCCTCCTCCTCCTCCTCCTTCTCCTCCTCCTCCTCTCCTCGTCTTCCTCCTTCTCCTCCTCCTCCTCCTCCTCTCCTCCTCCTCCTCCTCCTCCTCCTCCTCCTCCTCCTCCTCTTCTTCTGCTTCTTCTGATTATTCGCCCTCCTCCTCCTCCTCCTCCTCCTCCTCCTCCTCCTCCTCCCATCTCCCTCGTCCCATCTCCCTCCTTTCCTCCCTCCCTCCCTCCCTCCCTCCTCCTCCTCCTCCTCCTCCTCCTCCTCCTCGTCCTCGTCCTACTCCTCCTCCTCCTCTCCTCCTCGTCCTCTTCGTGCTCGTCCTCGTCCTCCTCCTCCTCCTCGTCCTCCTCCTCCTCCTCCTCCTCCTCCTCCTCCTCCCCTTCCTCTCCTGCCCCGACGGCGACACCTTTGCCCTTGTTTCCTCAGCGCAGCAGACGGCGGCGGCGACGCCGACGGCGCCGCGAGCGCACCCCGATCGCGCGGCTCCTGGCGGCGCCCGAGCACCTCAGCCGGGCGCGGGCCCGGTGTTCCGCAAGGGAGGGCGCGATAGGGCCGCGAGGTGGGGCTGAGGGAAGGGAGAGGGAAAGAGGAGGAGGGGAAGGAGGACGAGGAAGAGGAGGAGGAGGAGGAAGAGGAGGAGGAGGAGGAAGAGGAGGAGGAGGAGGAGGAGGAAGGGAGGAGGAGGGGTGGGCGACTAACCTTCCGACGGAGCTTGCCCATCCCATCCCCCCCCCCTCATCCACCTCCTCCTCGTCCTCCTCCGCCTCCTCCTTCTCTTCCACCTCCTCCTTCCCCTCCCCCTTCCTGCGGAGGAGGGTACACAGTCGGACCCTGGCCAGAAGATCATGCCCACGAGAACGCGAGAGACCCTCCGCCAGCCAACAAAAAGCATAACCACCAGGCGGGCCCTCACCTGGATGCACAAGTACATCCCACAAACACGAAGGGCGCTAGGGCGCCCTCCCCGAACCGACCTCGATCTCATACCTCGGTCCAGCTGCAGCGAAAAGGAGACGGAAGGGAGGAGCATGGCGGCCCAGGAAACCCACATCGCCAACATGCATACAAGTACGGCAGGTTCGTGTCGTGTCGACCCCGGCGTTGGTTCCCGACACCGCGCTGGATCGTTCAACCTTGAACGATCGGCCGTCTCCGCAACGTCCGATCGTTCAACATCGACCGATTCTGGGCCGCCGTCGGCGTTCAACCTTGAACGCCGCTAGCGTGGTCGCCGCCGGTCGACACGACGCGAACCTACCGTATCTGCGGTTCCGCGACCAATGTCGCCCTAGCACGGGCCCAGAGCCCACAGGAGGAGCCCACGAGCGCGGAGCCCGACCTCGAAGCTCCGCCCTGCGACCGAGCGAAGCGCGGAGGTGCGCGCCCAGAGCAGTGAGGAGGGACGTCAGGAAGGGGGAAACATGGAAGATTAGAGCCTCGCTCGCGGCAGCACTGTGAGTTTGTAACACCTGCGGGGAGGACAGAGAAGTAATGATGATGATGATGATGATGATGATGAGGAGGAGGAGGAGGAGGAGGATGAGGATGAGGATGAGGATGAGGATGAGGATGAGGATGATGATGATGATGATGATGATGATGATGATGATGATGGTGTTGTTGCTGATGATGATGTTGATGATTACGATTACGATGACGATGACGATGACGGTGACGGTGACGGTGATGATGATGATGAAGCTGCTGCTGCTGCTGCTGCTGACGAGGATGAGGGGCAGGAGGGAGGGAGTGGGGAGGGAGCGAGGACAATAGCGACGACGACGAGGGAGATACGGCGAGGAAGGAAGGGAAGAAAGGAAGACGAAGTTACGTTTCGCTTCAGTCTGAAATTTGTCCACCTGACACGCTGAATTGAACGGAATCTTACTGATGTCCGTGCTGGGAGACTCTGTGCTCACTTGCTTGCGAATGCCGCTCCCGCGACGGATCTGGCTTCAAATGGGTTGTGTTACCCCGCCCCCATGTTTGCTCCCTCCTCCCTCCCGTGCCTGGCGAAGAAGAAACGAGGAGGGATGAGAGAAGAGGGGACGAGAGGATAACGAAGATGGAGGAGTGAGGAGGAAGGGGATCGAGGAGGAGGGGCGAGGGGCAGGACGCCCAGCCGGGGCGCCCACGCTGCCCTCCGTCTGCTCCCGGCCGAAGCCCCGGAGAATGTAGCTCATGCGAACCAGCTTGACGGGGTGGTGCTCGCCCACCTCGGCGCGCTCGCAGGTCGAGTCAAGTCACTAGAAGCCAGCCACATCGGGTCCGAGCCGAGGGGGTCGGAAGACCGCGCAGCATCGCCGATGCATCGGCGATGCACTGGCGATGCACAGGCGACGTCAGCGATGCATGAGCGATGCGGCGTGGAGAAACTCGGGCTCCGCATCGAGACGCATGGCCGATGCATCAGCGGCGCGGCGCGATCCTCCGACCCCATGTGCTCGGACCCCATCCAGGAGGCTTTGGGTCAGGGCGCAGCGGCCTGGAACTTCCTGCTCGTCCTCCTGCATGCCCTGGAGATCCAAGCTGGCGGTGCTTTGGTGTCTTTCTGCATTTCTTCTTCGCCGCACCAGGCTTAAGAGAAGCCTGACGGGGAAGTCCAGCGGCATCCAGGGAGCTCCGGAGATCACTTCCTCGTCTTCCTCCTCCCCAGACTCCAGCCTTGTGTATCGGGCGCACGCTGACATGGAGTACCCATCGGTCAGAAGAAGTAGGTAGATACATGACGTAGGAAAGCGTTGAAAATTGATTAGGCTCCGTCCGCCCCCATAAGGAGGACGAAATAGGTAAAGCCACTCGATCATTGAAATAGGAAGGCGCTTTAAGTAGAATGGAATCTGGGGCTCCAGAAATACCTACTTTCAACGACCGATGGGTACGGGTACGGATTCTCGGATCTGGCGCGTGGGCGTCAAATCCACGAGATCTGTTGGAACTCGCGGAGGGAACGGGCGTTATTGGGGGGAGAGGGGAAACATAACGTCCCCCGCCGTGCGAGTCTGGCACCACGGGCTGTGGTGCCCGACGCACTGCTGCAGTGCTGGGGACGCACTGGGGGGAGGGGCGGGGGGCGTTAGGCTCTGGTGGGGTGGAAAAGGCAGGGGGGGAGGGAGGGGGGCATAACCCAGAGGACACAGAACACACGTTGCTTTCCCTCGAACGTCCCGCCCTCCACTTGCGGAAAAGACAGCGGCCGGGAATCAGAGGCCCGGCCAACCTCTGCTGAGGCCGCCATCCCGCCAAGAAGGCGCCGGAACACCACTCGGCCACTCGGCCCACACGTGCGCACAACCTGGCCACGGAGAACAAAGTACGAGCGCGGGGCGCGATGAACGAAGACACGTGAAACGCAAAACGAAGAGGAGGGGGAGGAGGAGGAGGAGGAGGAGGAGAAGAAGAAGGAGTAAGGAGGAGGAGGTGGAGGAAGAGGAGGAGGAGGAGGAGGAGGGGGGGAGCAGAGGGAAGAGAAGGAGGTGGGCTCGCTCACTGCCACTAAAGCAGCAAGGGGGGATCGAACCGTCCCCCCACCAGCCCTCCAGCTTGCCGCTCGGCGCCGTGCTGCAGGTATCTACAGCGCTGGTCGGCGCAAGAAAACGCGATATCCCGCACGACCAAATCGTGGATGCCGAAATCGTGATGATGCACACCGTCCTGCCGGCCAGCCCGGTACTGCCAGTACCCCCCGCGCTGCTCGGCACCCTCAGACTGCTCACAGCAATGCCGATCGCCGCACTGCATGCTCACCTCCAAGCCCGGCCGCGTTGCCCGACGCCGCGCTGCCTGTCGACCGCGTGCCCAGTCGCGCTGCACGAAGCACTGCACGTCCCAGTCATGGATGTCCGAAGAACTATGCTGCTCCCCGATGTGTTGCTGGACGTTGTGCTGTTCGCCAGAGGCCAGGAGAAGAGCGGGGAGGGAGGAAGGAGGAGAAGGATGAGGAGGAGGAGCAGGAGGGGGAGGGGGAGGGGAAGGGGGAGGGGGAGGGGGAGGAGGAGGAGGAGGAGGAGGAGGAGGAGGAGGAGGAGGAGGAGGAGGAGAAGGAGGAGGAGGAGGAGGAGGAGGAGGAAGAGGTAGAGGAGGAGGAGGAGGAGAAGGAGGAGGAGGAGGAAGAAGAGGAGACGGAGGAGGAGGGGGTAAGGAGGAGAAAGAGGAGGAGGAGGAGGAGGAGGAGGAGGAGGAGAAGGACGAGGCGGAGGAGGAGGAGGAGGAACTCTCCACGGATCGTGGAGAGGCCCCCCCCCACCTCAAAATGCGACAGGGCGCGCCGCCTCTGTACGGACGGGGCCCGTCACCAACCCACGCGCGCCTTCCTAGCACTTGTTTGCTTGCTTAGTCATGTTTGGTTTGTTCAACGTGTTCATCTTGGTGGCGCCTTCGTACTTGTTTGCGCTCACCGGGCCACTGGCTGGCCCAAACCCCCTCCCGTCCCTCTGCCTGCTTCTCTAGGCGGGATGTTCCTCGAGGCGAGAGAGGCAGGAAAGTCCCATCCGGCGACGGGGCCAGAGGAACCCGATCACTGACCCAAACGCACGCCTGAGTAATTGCTTGCGTTTGTTGTACGCTTGTATGTTTTGCTTTTTTATAGTTATCCTTTCGTTTGCGCCTTCGTACTTGTTTGGGTTGACAGCGCCACTAGCTGGCCCCCACCCCCTCCCGTCCCCCTTGTCTGCCTCTCTGGGGCGGGATGCTTCCTCGGGCGTGAAGAGCAATATACCCGAAAATCGAATCGGTAAATGGGGTAGGCGATCGAAATGAATCGGATCGGCAGAAATCGGCAGCCGAGTCGGAAGGAGTCGAGTCGGCGGACATCGGCAGACTACAGACTAGCCGTGGGCCAGCATCAAAAAGTTCGGGCCCGAGTCGGAGTCCGAGGTCAAACCGAAGAGGAATCGGAAACCATCGACATCGAACATAATCGAACTGGAGGAGTCGGAATGAACCCAACAGAAGTGGAGCAAGAGGGAGGCAAGATGGGGTACTTGCTCCGGGGGGAGGGACAGGAGGTGGGGAAATCAAAAGCTACCAATACCGCTTCTCCCGGACCTCTCCCGGGGCGCGGTCTGACCAGAATCTCGGGGTGAATCTGGCGGTGGCGACGAGGGCCTTCCAGGAGGCTGAGAAAGTGGAGAACGAGGGAAGGGTAGTGGCATCGGTACCTCATCCTCTGCGGAGGAGGCCTCCGAGGTCAGCCTTAGGTCGGGCATGTCCTCCTACAGGCGGGTTTTGGACAAAATTTGAAGACAAATATTCAATTGCCAGAAATGCTGAAAAAATCTTCCCCTGAGTGTTATTGAAAAAGAAAAAACTATGTTTGAGCACCCTTCTGCAGAGAGGGGCGTGCCCGACGTAATTCTGACTCTGGGCAGCAGGCGACAAAAAGGCCCTCGGCAGCGGGCCGCGGCTGTCCCGCGGTGGTCCTTAGGAGGCAACTACTGGGAGGCTTCCGTCAGGGGTTAAGGAGGATTCAGCCCCATTGGGAGGCTGTTAAGCCAAAATGGGCCTCGGATCAAGCGGGACGATGCCGGATTGAGCGGGATTAAGCGGGATTGAGCCGGATTCAGCGGGATTGGGCGGGATGAAGCCGGATGAAGCGGGATTTCGGACCAGGGCTAAATGAGAATTTGACCTCCCCGGAGCTGGCCATCGCTCGGACGTTCATTTCCTGTGATTTTGTTCGGTTTCGTGCGTGCTTTTTTCGCGAGGATGCTCCTCGATGGTCCTCGCCGAAGGAAAAATGCACACGTCCGAGCGATGCCAAGGGAAAGGCATCCGAATGGCCGCGTCCGCATGGTCCCGTGGCGTGCCCCGGGCTTGGCCCCGCGGGTGCCCCGCGAAAGCCCCGGGGTCGTGCCCGCGGCCGCCCCGCGGTGGCCCCGCGGTGGCCCCGCGGTCGTCCCGCGGAGGCCCCGCGGCTGTCCCGTGAGGGGGCCACGCGCGAACCCTGCCCCTGCCCCCCACGATGTCTGAGGGGGAGGGCGGGGTGCGCTTCGACTCGGAAGTCCGTTGTGAGATCGATCGGTAACTGTTACAACTTTAGGAAAAAGGAAAACAAAACTGCGTAAGCATAAGCTTTTGGAGCTCCGCGCAGATTTCAGGGATCTGCGCTGGGCACCCCTCCCTGGCGCGCGAAGCGCGCCAGAGGCGCCTCCGGGGGGGCCCAGCGCAGATCCAAGAGATCCGCGCGGAGCGCCATAAGTTTATGTCTATGGCGTTTTGCGTCTTCGATTGGCAGCGCAACCGAGGAGCGTGCAATGGGACCGATGAATGAAAGGATTCATCGATGGATCGTGGGGCCGACAGATCAACTGTGCCCCTGGTAGATCGCGAGACCGGAAGAAAAGGTGAATTGGGTAACTGTGTTGGGAACACGCCGACAGAACTTAAGATCTGTGTCGCGTGCTTGTGATGTAATTGTCGTGGTTGCCCAGCGGTGGCCCCACTTGTTGTTCCATGGCTGTCCGCGAGGTTGTCTCGTGGTCCCGTGGTGGTCCCGTAGCGTCCCGCGGTTGCCCCGCGGATGTCCCGTGGTTGTCCCGTGGTGGCCTCACGGATGTGGCGTGGCGGTCCCGTTGTGGTCCGCCCTGTAGATTGATAGCGGGACTGAAACATTGATCCGCCACATGCAGCCGATGCTCCGGGGACTGCACGCAGAGGTGCGGGTACCGAACGACTCGGGCTGCACGCTGCGCGCGACAACTTGCCGCACCTACAGCGACGAATGCCGACTGGGCCCCGCAGCGCCCCATGCCCCCTCTGCAGGCGACGCCTTGCAGCCCAGGGCCTCGAAGATGCTCTCGGGGTTCGTGTAGCGAGTAGCGTCGTGGGCAGCCTGCTCCCAGGAACGGGAATGGTAATGAAACCCCATCTCCCCGTGGCCTCCAAGGTGGTGAGAATACAAAAAACAAGAATGACCTCTCTCAACTTTTGCGCCGAAAATGTAGCAATAATGTAGCGAAGAATCGGTTCCCTGGAAGGGGTCCAGACATCAGGGTCCAGAATCGTGGACAAAATCGCGACGCTCGGGTTTGGATCCACATCTTGTCATGCCCCTCCGCCTATACTGTTTGCCCGTATCCAGACGACTGCTTCCAAGACTAGAATGATGGTCACTGCGGATGCCTGCCAGAGACACCAGAGGAATGAGCTTTTCACTCGCGCCTCCAATGAAGATTGAAACGGTGAAATTTGAAGATGTGTCATCAAAAACTGTCAGAGGCTGGAACGAACACGAAAGAATTGGATGTGATGGCGCAAGAAGGAAACACTGCACAAAGACTTGCCAGGGCTGGAAAAACGGAAAGGCTGACCCCGGCCGCTTGGTTGCCGTCCCGCTCCTTGCCACCCCTCCCCAGCATCCAGCTATCCTTTGAGAGGGCAAGAGCCCCGCACCCACACCTCCGTTTGGGAGCCCTCTTGGTCCTCTAAGCTGCTCCAAGATAACACAAAATGGCCCTGACTAAAAGGCCTACGGCTCCGGGGTGGCCCCCCCAGGCTGGTCCGAAGGCGACTCTGGCGTGGGCCCAGAGGCTCCACGGATGTCCTCCGAGATTCTGCACCAACGCCACTTGGAAAGCGTCCCACCCGGACCGTCTCAGACGGGCCTCAGAGACCTGGAGGTCACCCCGATGCAGTCCGAGATGCGCCCCGCAGGGCCACCAGAGAGCCTCTTGGAGAGCATCGGCTGGCCCGAGCAGGGCCGCAACAGGCGGCTCCCACGAAGCCCCCAAGACAACAACCTCCACCAAGCAGCCTGGCGGCCCTGTGACTCTGGGCGATGCAAGGGAACTTTCAAGGTCTCATTCAGAACTTCTGGGACGACCCAGGAAGTCCGTAGATTCCATGAGACCCTCCACAGCGGCCCCACAAGGTCACATCATTTAAACCGCCCCTCCCGCCGCCAGATGCCCACAACAATACAAGTGTCGATGTCCATCTCCCAGACGAGCAATGCACGGCACGGTGAACACGCTCAGAGAAGGAGAAGGAGAAGGAGGAGGAGGAGTGGGATGAGGAGGAGGAGTGGGAGGAGGAGGAGGAGAAGGAGGAGGAGGGGGAGGGGGAGGGGGAGGTGGAAAATGAGGAGGAGGAGGAGGAGAGTCACGGTGGCCCACGGAGATTCCTCGAGTGGCCACTCTGGTCGGGACTGCGTCCGTGGAGCGTGGAGTGCTGTCCCTGCCCAGGTCGAGCCCACGGCCCCCTGTCGAGCAGAAGCACGTCCTCACTCGTCCCCTCATCTCGTCCCCTCCTCGTCCCCTCCTCGTCCCCTCCTCCTCCCCTCATCGTCCCCTCATCGTCCCCTCCTCCTCGTCCTCGTCCTCCTCCTCCTCCTCCTCCTCCTCCTCGTCCCCTCATCTCCCCGACTCGTGCCTGGGCCAAGTGCGGCTGGGACTGGTCACTACTCCTGTGCCCGCCCACTGTGGGCACCGCCTTGCCGGACGAAGATCCAGCAGGCTGCTTCCCGCTGGCTCACAGATGGTTTGCTGGTGTTTGCCGGTGCCCACTGCCCCTGGCGTCCCGCGGACAGGACCCGACGACGGCGCTCGCTCGAAGGCCTGGCTGCCATGCTCGCCGAGGGGTTGGTGTGGCGTTGCGCTGCGGGCAGGCCTCTCCCAGGACATCCCGACCTGGTTTGGCCAACTGCCCAGGGGGGCTGGCGGGTGCAGGGTACCACCCCCCTCCTCGTCTCCATTCGCTCATCCGACGCCTCCTCCTCCTACTTGCCGTGCCCTCTACCTGCCTTCGTTGTCTCTCTCCTTGCCTCTCTGCCCTTTTCCCTCTCCTCGAGGGGGCGGTTGCCTGTGCGGTGCGCCCGGTGGGCATGCGGGCCCGCGGGGGTGAGGCTGACCGTGGCATGTTATCCTCCCCCCGTCTGGCAGAGTGTGGGTGGAGCTCCCTCCTCGGGGCCTGTGTTTAAGTCGGGCACGTCCCTCTACAGGAGGAACATTCAAGAATTAATATAAAAATCTGGAGACGGATTCTGTATCATATGTTTCAATATGTTTGGTCATGTTTGGAATATGTTTTACTGTTCGTCCAAAATCCGCACGTAGGAGGACATGCCCGACCGAAGCCTGCATGCTCCATCCCATCCCCAACCACCCCGTTTCCCTTCCTCTGATCCATCTCATCCGCCGACCCATGCCCTCCTCCTCTCTCCCTCAATCCCTCCCTCTCCCTTCCCGTGCCTCTTCACCCTCCCCTGTCGCCGCACCTCCCGCCGCCTTCCACACTCCGCAACGCCCGCCACCTTGATCGTCCCCCATCTCCCTCCGCACCCACCGCTCGTCGTCGTCGTCGTCGTCCTCCAGATCCCTTTCTAGACCTCCTCGGGACACTCTGAATCCTCATTGAGGGTGCCTGGTACGGATTTCGAATCGATACCGGCTGTGCTGACGAGGGGCACAAGCAGGGCAGAAGGTGTCCGAACACCCACGGGGGCCGTACAGACACTGGTATCCTTCTTCTTGGGAGGCACAAGGCCGTACAGACACTCGTATCCTTCTTCCTCCTGCGCCTCCTCTCCCTCCTCCTCCTCCTCCTCCTCCTCCTCCTCTTTCCCTTCCTCTTCCTCATCCTCCGCCTCCGCCTCCTCCTCCTCCTCCCCCGCGTCCTCCTCCTCCTCCTCTTCCTCCTCCTCCTCCTCCTCCTCCTCTTCCTCCTCTTTCCCCTCCTCCTCCTCCGCGTCCTTCTCCTCCTCCTCCTCCTCCTCCTCCTCCTCCTCCTCCTCCTCCTCCTCTTCGTTCTCCTCCTCCTCCTCCTCCTTGTCCCCACCTCTTCGCCCAGCGGGGGCCTTCGACAGCGAGGCCTTCGGCCCGCCGGCGTTGCTCCCGCTGGCGCCTGTGGCCTTCTTCTTGGCCTTCTTCTTGGCCTTCCCCTTGCTCTGTGGGGCATCGTCCTCCTCGTCCTCGCCGCGCGGTCGCCCGGGCGCCGTCCGTGAGGTGTTTGTGTTTGTTTGTCGGTCGTCCCCTTTGTTTTTGCCAACCGTCCAGTGGTAGTGGGTCCTTGCTCTGAAGAGACCGTGCCCGCGTTCCTCACTCCTCCGCCTCATATTCTTCCGCCACGGCATCGTCGTCATCAGCAGTAGCACCACCATCGTCATCAACAACGTCCGGATCATCTCCATCATGCGTGGGCCTCGGATCTTTTCGCACACCACTCACAAGTTTCGCGGCCGAATAAAGTGTTCGACGGACAAACCCACTTGCAGGGCCGCGTGGCAGCCTCAGGGAATGTCGTTTTACTCCTCAAATGCTTCGCGGCTCCATATGGAGCTCCACCGAAGGCCCCAGTGGCAAAGTCCGCATGGCAGCCTCGGGCCATGTCTGCACACTCCTCACACGTTGCACGACCCCATAAGAGGCTCCAGCCGACGGCCCCCAGCGGCAGGGTCCGCATGGCGGCCTCGGGCCATGTCGACACACCCCTCACACGAATCGCGGTTCCATAAGGAGGACCCCCCAATGCCCCACTTGCAAGGTCCGCGTGGCAATCTCGGGCCATCTCGGCACACACCCCTCGCACGCTTCGCGGCTCCTCCACCAAAAATTCCACCGGCAAACTCATCATGGCGGCTCCAGGCCATGTCTGCACATTCGTCGCGGCACTGGCAACTGGCAACTGCACGTGATTGGGTCCTTCGCCCAAACAGTTGGTGGCCAACATATCTATGTTAGACAGTGCGGGTCCCAAAACAACAGGTGCTGCACAGTGGAGGCAATTTGTCGCGCAAGCGATGTCGTGTAAGGCTCGCGGTGCAAACTACGTGGTGCACACCATGCTGTGCAGGCTATGCGGTATAAGCTGTGTCATGCAAGCTCTGTGGTGTGAGCTAGACGATGTGATCTATAGTTCGCACCAGGGTGTAAACTATTGTGTGCAAGCTATGTGGCGTAACGTTTGTATCCACACGTGTGGAACTGTGGTGTTGAATATGTTGCGTAACCTTCGTTGTGCGATCCATGCATCGGCAACAAAGCCGTGCAACCTACGTGGTGCAAGCCGTGCGGATTGAGTTTATGTTGTAGGAGCTACGCGTTGCAAGCCATGTGGTGCGAGGTGTGTGGCGTAAGCGCAAGGGCAAGTGAGCCAACGTGGCAAATGTTCGGACAACCCACCCAAAGCACGGGAGCGCCCGCGAAGCGCCAGCGAACGTGCAAGAGCGCAAACGAAGCGAAATCTTTGAAAACAGCACGCCCAGCGCACGGGGCGGCCACGAGGCGCCCGTGAATGGACACGCCGACATCTCGGCGCGCGGAAGTCCCCCAAAAACTGCGGGGAATAGCCTCGTAGTAAGTCGAAAGAAAACCCTTCCCTTTGCCCGTTCCCTGCCGGGGGTGGGGGCGGGGCAGAACATCGCCCCCCCGGGGTCCCGGCGGTCCCCGCGAGGGTTCGCCAGCGGGGGTCCCCGCGGGGGGTCCTGCTTTCAGGATCGGCGGCGCCGGTCTTAAGGCGCAAACGTAAGCAAACGAACTGAGAACACCCAAAGCAAACGCTACTTGGCGAATCTCCACACTATGATATACACATTGTTTGATCGACCCATTCCCAGGGACCGGTGTTTCACCTCGAACCGTGTTTTGACAGTCCCGGGGCCCGGTAAGCGCCCCAGGAGGCCGACAAAATCGAAAAACCTCCCGTCGGAAATTTCTCGCGGCTCGACGGGGACTGGGTGGGCTGCGCCATCCCTGAATGGGCGGGGCGGGGGGGGGCAGTATTTTTTTGGTGGCGGCGGCAAGGCAAGGGGTGACTGTGCTGGCGATGAGAAGCTTCGACGGGGTCGTCGTTGGAGCGAATGCTACCACCGTGCAAGTGGAGGGGGCAGGAAGGACGCGGCCGAAAGGAAGCAAGGACGGGGCGGGCGTTTCATGTGCTGGGCCTGTTTTCCACCACCACCACCATAGGTTGGAGGGGCGAATGAGGAGGAGGACGAGGAGGAGGAGGAGGAGGACGGAGGACGGAGAGGAGGAGGAGGAGGAGGAGGAGGAGGAGGAGGAGGAGGGAGGAGGAGGAGGAGGACCCCCTCCCCCTCCAACTTATGGTGGTGGTGGTGGAAAACAAGCCCATCATCATGGGGTCAGAGCGAAAAAGGCGCAGGCACAGGTTGGCGCTGGGCCCGCGGCGGCGGCGGGCCGGCTCCTGGGGAACGGGGCCGCGGGCTCGAGGGGATGGAGGAGGAGGGGGGAGGGCTACAGGCGAAATCGATGTCAGGAAGCAACTACTGGGAGGCTTTCGTCGGAAAGGTTGGGGAAGATTAATAGGAAGGCACCAACTATACACCAACACCGATCCTGGCCCAGGATCACCCTGGGCCCAGGATCGGTGTATACGCCCTCCTGCCTTGCGCAAGAAGGCATATACACCGATCCTGGGCCCAGGGCGATCCTGGGCCAGGATCGGTGTGTTGGTGTATAGTTGGTGCCCTCCGAATTAAACCCCATTTGGGAGCTGTTACGCCAGAGTGGGTCTCGGACTAAGCAGGATCAAGCCGCACTAGGCCGGATTAGGGCCAGACTAAGCGGGAATAGGCCAGACTTCGGACCAGGGCAAAATCAGAATTTGACCTCCCATGAGTTGCATCCGAAGGTACGGACGGGCGGCAAGGACGAAGGGAGCTTGCACGCCGAAATTAGCACCCCTTTCGGCGGCGGACTGCCAACGCGCTGGAGGGCTGGCCAGGGAAAGCCGCGAAGGACAGGCCGCAGAGACACGGGCGCAAAGGCACCTTACGGACCTCCGTGCGTCATTATGTCGTTTCCTGACTGTGGGCGGGCGAAGAAAGTCGCTCGCAGGGCACGCGCATAAACAGGGATCACAGAAGCCCGCCCGGCGGAGCCGGTGGGCCCTGCCCCGTCTCACTGCTCCTCGCACCGCAGAAGGCACAGTGGTGGCACAAACTGACGTCGGCCTGGATGCCCGTTTCTACTCCGCGAGTGGGGATCGCTCGCGCGCGCTCCCGCCTCCGACGCCTTGGCGAAAATGGAGCTGCGCGGGCCGCGCAGGGGCCAGAGAGGCAACGCATCGCATGCGCGATCCGGAGAACACCGCATGCGCCGCGCCGAAACAGCACTGCCATGTCCACGCGCCAGCAACGATGGCACGCCGGCGAAGACTACACCGCGCCCTTGCGCGGCCCCGCAGCCGCTGCAGCTGCCGCGGCGGGCGAAACGCGCTCCGCGCTGGAGCGACGAGAGAAGCAGCGGGCGGGGAGACGTCCAGGCCGTCCGCCGCGAAGATAAAGCCAGACATTTTCGAGGACGGGCCCAGCCTCATCCTCCTCCTCCGCGGCAGGCCCCGCCCCCCCGTCTTATGATAGTCCGACCTACTTTAGCCCTGACCACCAGAAAGAATTTTGATCACCAAGAAAATACGGTAACTTGAGGGTGTTCACGTGTCGTGCCCTGGGAGGCGACACTCGTTCGACACTGGTTCGATACTTTCCTGGGTGCTCGAAAGTGTTTCTGGGATGCGTCCTTGGGGAGGGCGCGGGCCGCCGCGCCCGAGCGGGAACTCCACCCCCCGACGAGGCGTGCACGGAGCTGCTGCTGGGCGAAGGCGACCGGCCGGCCGCCCGCGCCAGACACCGAGCGGGCCACAAACGCGCGCCGCGCCGATGTGGGTGCGCCACTTTCGGGTGACCTCTGCGCGGCGCCGACGCCAGAGTCACAGTGAAGAGGCCCAGGGACACACAAATTAACACACACAAGTGGCAGGATTCCCCATATGTTTGAATTGTTGTCTTCCCGCCCACTTCGCACATGTTTCCAATATTTTCTTAGGGATCGACGATTAATTGTGTATCTGTGTGCTTTTCCGTCCTGAAACACGTTCACACGTTCGCGCGTCGACGACTTCGCGTGATAGCATGGCGCGCAGCACCACGGCGGGCAGTCGACGCCGAGACGAGGAGGCAGAGACGTCGCCTCTGTCACGCGGGGTGTGCGCAGTGGCCCACTTCCGCCGCGCATGTTCGATTTTGCGTCGACGCCCAAACGTCGACGTTGCTTTACGATCGGTCGGAGAGGGAACCAGGTAATCTGGTAGACTACTACGACAAAATTACTCCGACGGAAGGACCCCACATGAGAATCCTCTGGGCGAATCTGGGAAAAGCGCTCACCGTCGTCCTCGTGGTTGGTGAGGCGTCCTGACTGTCTTTTCTGCGTATATTTCTTCTCGCCCTGGCGCGGGCCCTCCCCCCGCTCCCTACGTTGCCCCCGACCTCGCCCTCCTGTTTTTTTCGCGCCACGCCACCGCCTCGCCTTTCCATTGCACGAGCGCGCATGTCGGTTTTCCTCGGCGCCGTCGCCGCCTCGGCCAGGCAGTCATAAAGTGACGACAGGCATGCGAATTCCGAGGACCCTCCTCGGATTCGAAATTCACAAATGTGGCCCGGGAATGACGCTCTGGGAACACGACGAACACAAAGTGGCCTACAGTTGGCTCCGGACATCCAGAATGTGGCCCGGGAATGGTGTTCTGGGAACAGGGAAGAACACGAAGTGGCCTACAATTGGCTCCGGGGTTTCAAAATGTGGCCCGGGAATGGTGTTCTGGGAACACGGAGAACACGAAGAGGCCTACAATTGGCTCCGGGCATTCACAATGTGGCCCGGGAATGGCGTTCTGGCAGCGCGAGAGCCCAAAAGTGACGACAGTTACAAGGTTTGGATGACCCGCTCGGATTACCAACATGATCTGCGGGCCCCATAGGGAGGGGGCTCCCGCCTGAGACTTCCTCACCATTCACTCACAGACGAGGCTCCCGCCTGAGATTTCCTCCAAATTCAGGCCTGAAGAGCCCAAAAGTGACGACAATTACAAGGTTTGGATGACCCGCTCGGATTACCAACATGACGCGCGGGCCCCATACGGAGGGGTTCCCGCCTGTGACTTCCTCGCAATTCA